GATTTTTCTGGGAAAATATCTAATAAATTAGTTAATTGTTAGCAACTCGTAGATATTCTTTTTTCTGTTACATATACTACGTTTATACGTCACCTATTTGCAAACAAAAACAATTTGCAAATACCTAAGTCACTGTTTATTCGACGGTGAAAATTTGTTTTCCAATATTGATTGATTATAAAAACGCAAAAATATGACCATCGCAAAAGAAAATAATGCTAGAAATGGAACCGTTTTGATTATAAAAAGGCAATAAGATGGCCATCTAAAAATAAAATAAACCTAAGAATGGCAACGTCTTGCGCTTATTTGCAAATAATAAATTAACTCCGTTTATGCGGAAAGTTGACCATTTTGCGGATTGTTATTTGCAAATAATACGTGCGTATAAACGTAGTAATAGATACTAACCAAAGAGGAGCTCAGTCACTTTAAGTCCAACAAGTGGGAACTTGCCTGCCCTTCCCTCTAAATTAAAATTAGCCACGGTATCATCTTTGAACAAGCCACGCATAACTCCGTCAACTGTTCCTTTGGTGCCCTTTGCTCTTGCTAAAAGCCCAATCTGCATATGGGAGAAAGATTGTTATTTACAAATTAAATATACTTGTTTCAATATCATTATGTTACCATTGCGTCAGCGTAAGCTTTATTTTTAAGCTTGGTTTCAACAGCCTGCACTAGCTCCACCGATGACATGGGAATCATAGTAGCTAAGTCGGTTGACTCCTCGCTTTCCATGTCACCGGTGATGCGACTGACAGACTGTTGAACCCTAGCTGTCAAAACTCGGCACTCTCGCAACAGCTTACTTTGGGCTTGGAATTCGCCACGTTCAGGCATCTAAAATGGGGAATCTCAATGTTATAAAGGGTATTTGTAGTATATATAGTGTCTGTTATTACCTTATCGGAGAGGGCGCTTTGTATTTCAGCAACTTTCTTATCAACGTCCAGTTGACGGGTCTCGACGATGTCCAGTTTTGAGTATAATTGGTCTTGGCGTTCCTGTATAGCATCTAATTTAGCCATTATTGCTGTGTGGCTACTTTGTGATAACGGCACATCTACGGAAAGGGCTGGATTTTTCGGTGGAGGGCGTTCGTCATGGGGACATTCAACTGCAAATTGACGCTTGCGAATTTTATTCTCTGAAAAGAATACAATATTATTGTAGTGAAAGTATATAAGAAAAAAAGGATTACCGTCATTTGTTCTCCACTGGCTTGATTCCACTTGCGAACATATGTCTTGGAAAATGGCTTCTTCAGAATCCATTTTAAATTAGCTTAAAAAATCATTGAAAAGGTGATGAAGTAGGGATATAAGTAAGTATTTTCCTTCAACAGGAATACAAAAATACTTGTAACTTATATCATTCATATTTACATATATTTCGTTTTTATTCAATATGCTACTTAATCTAATGCCTAGACCAGTTGAGGACTGTAACGGTTGGTCAAAATAGTTCGCAGAGTCCACTAAAACAACAGCTTTAAACACGTTTGATTCTACATTTTGGCTTACAATTTCAACAGGTCCCAATTCAGAGCTGAAACAGAGACTGTCTTTCTCTTTTTTAAAATCTATAGAAAACTCTCCTATCTTAGAACTTTTGTTGGGATCTGCAGGTACGTTTTGGCGTTCAAGGGTTCTAAAATAAATTTGCTGCAAAATTTGGTTTGGTTTATTAATCATTTTCTTCAAGTGCTGCATATAATTTTCAAATTTGTACGCGGAAAGACTGTCTAAAGGACCGAACATTTTTACGCAATCTGGTAAGTGCAGCAAACAATGTACGTTAAAGCTTATTAAAAAATCGCCATATAAATCGCCAAATAATTTTACAAAATCTTTCAAAATCTCATTTGCAACATTCAATTCTGTTTTATGTGACTTTTGTCAAGAAAGAAGTCGAACTCCAGCATGCAATAAAAGAAAAAGGTAGTATAAATCGTCTGATATGCAGTCTTTTAAAACAAAAATTCCCGTGTATAATAAAAATTGCCTAAAATCTGTAGACTTCCAATTGCTTATTTCATCAAGATTTCTGGGTATTCGACAAAACTCGGACGGAACAAAACTTGAAAGGTAATGTATTTTTTCGTTCATTTTTGTTACATTGCCTGTTTTAACAAGCAATTGGAGTAGTTTTTTCATTACACCTAAGTCCACCAAATGCATAGGGTCCAAGGGAAATTGAGAAACCATGCTGACATTTGCAGATTCCAACAAACTTTCACGTTGCTTATATTGTAAACTATGATGATCCAAATCCAATCTTTTTTTAAAAGAATCGTCTGTCCGTAGAGGACCAAGTGTTTTAGAAAAGCAAACCCTTCTTTGTCTATATTCACAATTGCATATGCACTTTGGACAGCTGTTTTTCCCGGTATGGGACTTAACTCCTGTTATAAAGGCGCGAGCTGGGGAGTCGCATGTGAAAAGTCTAATTTCGAACGGTTTTACTGTTTCATTAGGGCCTACCTTAAGTCCATTCTCTCTTAAAAATACGATTTCTTCACAAAATTGCCTAAGGAATTCATCAACATTATGGGGCTTACCCATGCCTGAAAAACAAGCAATGGTGAAAGGGTCCTCTTTAGGGAAACCCACAACAGAACCTAAGATTGGCCATAATGCCCTATTCGAGCTTTTAAATACTTTCAGCCCATCAATTCCAACGTCTATAGAAACCTTATCTGCATTTATCAGATATTTAAAATCTTTTGACATAAAATAAAACTGGATTCCGAAATAAAGTAACTCGCCCCCTTCTATGGTTTTAATATCTACAGTTTCTCGACTAGTACCTAAAAGCGTTTTAGCATACAAAGGTAACCCGTCAACCCCTACCTTCTTCAATGTTTGAAGTAAGTCGGTCAACACGTTATGAGTTACATTATTTCTAATAGCCCAAGCCTTTAACTCGATTTTCCGATCGTAAGTTGGAACTGTGTTTTCTTCGCTGTCATCTAACTCGTCAACGTCAAATAAAAAACCCTCACTATCGCTACCACTATCTGGATAACTATCATTCACTAAATAAAGATCTGATATACTTTGCGCGTTAGGCAAAATATTTTGAAGACCGGCGACTCTACTAGTACTAGGCATATCTTCGTCCCAAGCTACTCTGTTACTACATCTACTGGTACTAGGCATGTCTTCATT